ATGTGCACGTACTCTCTTGTCTATATGTGCACCAGGCATGCAGGTACCTACAAAGTGCAGAAGAGGACCTTGAGTCCTTGGGACTAGAGTTAGATCCAGTTGTAAGATAACTGACGTGGGGGCTGGGCCTGTGCGAGAGCAGCAAGTACTGTTCACCACCGGGCGATGTCTCCAGCCCACTAAAACTGCTAGCAGTTATTGATGATAATCATTTTAACATTTTTTTTAAGATTTAAAAGCATACAAGACTGCTGGGGCATCTTATTGGACAGATGTTAACCTCTGTGACCTTTCACTCCGTGTTATGTTTTTATTAGCCTGTATTAATCACCAAATTAATAAGTGTCGTTGTGACATTCCTGTATGTGCGTGTAGTGTGCTTTGGCCAGAGTCATTCCTATGTCCTTCCTTTATCCGCCTGCTCCCTCTACCTTCACACTTCAAACCCCCTAATGTTCACTTTCATGTCTCTCCCTGCCTAGAGTCCCCACACAGGTAAAACTTGTTTACTTGAGACTGGCTTGCTTCACTTAACGTGGTGATCTATAGTTCCGTGTGTTCCAGGGTTTGTATCTTTCTGCATTTATGCATTTAGAAACAGGTGAACAGCAAATTACACACACCGATGAATAAGGGTTGTGAAGTTTGGTGAGATCCTTAGCACTGCTAAAGGACACGGTGATGGAAGACAAAGGGTCCTAGGCACCTGTCCTTCCTGCGAGCATCAGTTACTCTTCCGTGGCAGTGACACGGACTTGTAGAACAAAGAGCTTATTTTGTGTTGCAGAGGGAGAGTCCTTCGTGGGGTGGAGCATGGGAGCAAGAGGCAGGCAAGCAGAGAAGAGATCACAAACACGAGGCGGAGGACAAAATGGAGGTGGGGTGAGACCTCCTGCGGTGACACGCTTCCACTGGCAAGGCTCTAGGTCCCAAGCCCCACCAGACAGCGCCACTAGCAGGAGGCCAGCTGTTCAAGCCTGTAGGGCACATTTCTCCCTCAAACCAATGCAGTGATGAGTGTCTGTCTTCTCACACTGAGGCTGTGTTGGTCTCTTTGATTACTAGGCACATGCAACTTACGGCTTGAAAAATGGCAATATCCAGAGGGATATGCTGAAGCAGAAGCTGCCGTTTACGAAATGGCAAATGAAAGAGAGAGCAGCCTGGATTCCACACAGAGAAAATTCCACAGAGAGAAAGGTTCGAAAAAAATATTAGAAATCACAATGGGAGTGATAAGCCGGTGGGCTCAAGGAGGTGGGACAAGGTCTTCCCTGGGGATCTGGATCTGAACACTGTCCTTGAAAAATGGCAACTTATCAGCAGCCATGTTAGTCTACATACTATGTGAGCAGGGTCCCTACTGTGTGAGCAGTGTCCCAGATTCCTAAGTTCCAGTCTAGGAGCAAGATTAGTTGCAGATCCTGGGAATTGCCCGAAGCTGTCGTAGGCTCTGTGCTCTTGAGGTCAAGTCAGAGTTCTGTCTACATATGATAAGGAAAAAGAAGAACTCTCTGTCATGTGCATCTGTGATCCTGGGTAGAGGTCAGGCTTGTGGTAGAAGGGAGCCAATGTCTGCATCAGGCAGGAGTGGCTGGACCTGAGGGCTGATAGCCAACACCTGCATCACATGGTCTTCAGGGGTGGCTGTGGTGATGTGAGCAGCTGTTCGGGTCACACAGGAATACCGAACGCATTACTGTTATTTCTGGATGAGTTCTGGTGGACCTTGTTGGTCTAGGGGATAGTCTTAGATGCGACTTGTTGCTGGTTTTTGTTTTTGTTTTTTTTTGGATTCTTTATTATTTTAGAATTTAGAATTCTTATTATTTTTGACTATTTGGCTATATATCATGGTAAAGATCTCTTGCAGTCAAGTCTATTTGGGATGCTAGAGGTCTCTGTTCCTGATTGTCTATGTACATACCAAGATTAAGAACAAAGTATAATTGACAGTTAATGATTAAAACCCTAAGCAAAGCCCCATTGCTTCTCAGCATCTGTCCTGACTGTAGGAAGGAAACCCACTGAGAGGCATAGTTTAGGTTTGGGCAAGTATTTGAGGGGCTTCCTTATATCAACTGTGTGATGCTTTTATTTGTGAGTTCCTTATAATAGAATGCTTGCACTAAAACATTTCTATTATTTTATTTAGTATACTTTAAATGCCCCCTTCCTCTCAGGTCTATGAAACTGTGAATATTTGTTTAGTGTGTCAAAAATCTTCAAAGGCTGTCTTTGTGCTTTAATATATTTTCCTCACTTCTCTCTCCTCCCCTCTTCTCACATCTCACTGGTCTGGTTTATTTTTTAAAGTCTTCCTTTCCCCCAGCGGTTCTTTCTTCAGCTTAACTCAGGCTGATTCTCAGGCTTTCGACACCATGGCTTCGGCTTTTACTGAGTTCTTTATTTTCAAAGATTCATTGAGTTCTTTTTCAGGACCCCGATGATGCCTTTGCTGAATTTCTCATTTACATCTCGAGTCGTTTTCCTTGCCCCACAGAATGATGTCGAGCCTTCCTGTCTTTGGCCTTGTTGCTCCCCTGGAATCATCCCCCAGATCATTTACTCTTCACCTCATCCACGTTCCTTGAGGTCTGCCGCTGGGGTCACTGTGGGTGGGGCCTTCCACTCTGGTGCCTTTTCCTGCCTCTTTGGAGTCGACCATGGGTGTCTACTTAATCAGCTCTCTTTACCACAAGTCTTGGGTGTCAGTTTGGTAAGCGGCATTGGTCTGACTCCAACTGGGTGATGTGACTGGGGCTGAGGGCCAAAGTAGCTGACACCTGCATCCTGATGACTCCCTCAGGTACCTACTATCAGTGTGTTTGGGCCCAGTGTGTGTGTGTGTGTGTGTGTGTGTGTGTGTGTGTGTGTGTCTGTGTGAGATGGGTGAGAAAGCTCCCTTTTTCTCTAGGAGCTACAGAGGAAGCCGTGTGGGTGGGCATGTGGCCACTGCAGCAGTACTGAGTGCCAGTCTGGGGCTGGAGAGCACTGTTGGTTTCATGCATGGCAGCAGTGGCGTTAGTAAGCAGTTTGTGACCACAGAAAGCACAGTGTGCAGAACACACATCTGGACCCAGTGGTGGTTGGTCTCAATTAGGTGGTGTCTTAGTTACTGTTCTATTTCTATGAGGAGACACTGTGACAAAGGCAACTTATAAAATAAATCATTTAATTGGGGGACTTATAGTTTCAGAGGGCAAAAGTCCATTATCATCACGGTGGGGAGCATGGTGGCAGACAGGCGAGCTTTGCGCTTGTGTGGAGGAGCAGGAGATGATGCTGGCCTGACACGGGCTTTTGAAGCCCCCACCAGTGACATACATCATTGTCCTTCCCAAACAGTTCCACTATCTTCAGACCAGGCATTCAAACATATGAGCCCGTAGAGACCATTGTCATTCACATGACCACGGGTAGGCTCAGGCTGGTTACAAAGGCAGCATGAGCTAATCTGTGCCGTGGGAGCATGGGGGCCACCCAGTGATGGAGACAGCCCCGCTGATGAGAGAGTGGCTTAGCGCGATTGTGGGCTGCAGCTGGGCTTGGGGATCCTGTTTGAATTGATCAGGAAAGCTCCTTGGCTGATAGTGTGACTCAGTGACATTGGGGTTTGCCTGATGGCTCAGTCAAGCGCATGCATAGGCAAGAGCCTTGTGGAAACTGGCTGGTAATGGAGGCAGCTCAGACTGATCGTTGCTTGGTATGATTACATTATAGCTTGGGATGCTATGGAGGAAGTTTGGAGGCAGAGGGCTATTCCCAGTACAACATCCCCCAACTGTAATCTGGCAGTACAGCTACATATTGCCTGTTGCAGTTGTTTGTGTGGAGGAAGAGCTCCTTGGGAATAGCGGCAGTCAAGACAGTCTTCCACACTGAGTGACTTCTGAATCAAAAAGGTAAGTATGGGGAAAAAAAGAACAATTGATCCTCAACCCAGGGAGATTCATCTTTGCCTCTTCCAGAGCAGTCTGAATGTACAAGTGCAGGGCACAGAAAATAACCCGAGGGCTCAGAGTGATGGGAGAGCCACAGGGCCTGGCATTTTAGGGGGTGGGGAGATCCCTCCTCCTCTTATTTTCTTCCCTTCAACTCCCATCTTCCTCATTTTAGTCTGCCTAGGGCTCACGTCTTCTAGAAGGGGCAGGAGTTGTGGAGAATGATGGGAAACTAGCTCATAACCCTTGGATTCTCAGCAGCTGTCCGGAGACTAGGAGACCATTTGTGGGTTAGGAAGTCAGTATGATTTGTTTTTACAAGGAGGGTGTCAGGAAGTGCAGACTAGTATTGTGAGCCTGGTTTGTGAATGTTCCGAGGGGGTGGTTTGAGGAAGCAGGTACTCACTGTAGACTGGACGCTTTTGGGAAATGGGCAGACATCTTTGTGGGCATGCTAATGCATCTCACCTACAGAAAGGGCAGAGTACAGCGAGTCTAATCAGTCACTCACCTCTGTGTGTGTGTGTGTGCGCAAATGTGTTTGCAAGTGCACGTGTGTGTAAATGTATGTGTACATGTGCAAGTGTGTATGTGTGTGTGCAAGTGCATGTGTGCTAATAAGCATGTGCAAGCGCATTGTGTGTACAAGTACATGTGTGAGTATCTGTGTATGTGTATGCAAGTGCATGTGTGTGCAAGTGCATGCATGTATGAGTGTGCATGTGTGTATGAGTGTGCAAGTGCATGTGTGTATGAGTGTGTGCATGTGTGTGTGCATGTGTGTATGTGCAAGCACGTGTGTGTATGTGTGTGCATACAAGTGCATGTGTGTGTGCATGTGTGTATGTGCAAGCACGTGTGTGTATGTGTGTGCATACAAGTGCATGTGTGTGTGTGTGCATGTGTGTGCTCAGTATCATATGGGAGATTGAAGTTCTTCGTTAGTGGCTCCTTTCTATATCTGTTTCCCTCCAATTTCAACATCTATAGCCATTCTAATATCTAGAGATTCTCTTTCTCTGAAGAGACTTTATAATGTCAAATCAAGGGGCCAGTAGGATGGCTTAGTGGGTAAAGACTACAGAATGATCTTGCTTTGTCCAGTCACCATGCTCTGTGATTATATCTGCGTCCAAGGAGAAAATCAATCACCCGACCAGCCATGAGTGACAGGCCGCTCACTAGATGTCAAGGCCACTAATCTCTTCCTTCTTCACCTGGATGCCTCTCAATGAGCTAGGCAACTCATCCTATTCCATGCTCCCTGGATCATTCCCATGTGTGACTGTGTGTGCAACGTGAGCTTTCATGGTGTCTGTGGGGGATAAAAGTAGAGAGGAAGGCAGAGCTAGCTTCACTCCTCATGCAGACGGCAGAGAACCTGCCCCCTCCCCCCCATGGTATTGAGTCACCTTTCAAGGAAGCAGCCCTGGCACAGCCAGTGTCCTGCCAAGTCCACAGCACACATCTTGTTTTCACACATGCCTTTCATATGCCCTCTTCTGTCTGTGCTCTGCTGGCCACTTCATGCATGTGTGGTGGTGGTGGGGTATTAGGATACCTTAAGACTCATCTTAAGTGCCACCGATCACCTCCAAAAGCCACTTGAAAAGTCACAGGTGGGAGGGAGACATACTGGATAGTGCTCATCAGGTTTCCTGGAAGCAATTTAGAATGCTGAAGCAGGTACTTTAGGTCAGCTGCTTCAATAAGACCAAGGGTGGAGCTCTTCTGTCCAGACAGACCTCAGGACTATGAGCTACAACCAAAAAAAAACTGAAACCCAGATAGTGCAAGGAAGAGACACTGGGGGGCGCTATTTCTCCACCCAGGGTCGCTTTCTCTCATAGGTGATTGTAGTGTACCCTCTGCAGGTTCGGCTCTTACCTACCGGGCGGCTCACAGTGGTCCTCTGTCTTTCTTCACACCTGTTCCTGGCTCCCACAGCAGAGACCTCCTCCTCACCCGGGATGGGTACCCAATTAACCACTGGGTCTCTGACTTTATTTGAGAAGGAGTTTCACTCACCAAGCCCTGCACAGGCGAGTAAGGTCTGGGTCTCACTTCCAGCCCTCGGCAACATCCAGGTGTGGGTATGCTCCCTCCCCACGGTCTCCTCTTCACGGATGAGGGACCTGGACTGTGTGGCCCAGCTGGAATAGCTGTAAGGACAGCCCCTAGGGAGTGGCCGAGACTGCAGAAGACTATGGGCAGGAGCGTTTTGGGGGCTAAGGAGTGCACGGGGCGGGCTTCAGGTCGGGTGCAAGCATTTGGGTCTAAGGAGCTGGAAGCAGGGAGAGGGGAGGTCTCAGGCACATTTGTTGCCACAGAACAACTTCCCTATACTCCGAGGAGAACACAAAGCATTTAGATGTCAAACTACTCTAACCACAGCGGCTAAGAAATAGACCAGGGACGATGCCACCCATGATTTTCAGCTTAGAAAATAGGGCTTGTGGGGTGCCTAGGAAGTGGCCCCTGGGAAGGCTCAAAGGGCAGCAGTGGGTGACTTTCTGGGTCACTTCCAGCTGCCTTACCCTGGGCACCTTGATAATAGCTCTGAGCAAGAGGCATCTTAATGTTTTATTTATAAAAATAAATGACAGGTGGCGGGGGGGAGGAAGAGTTACTCTTCTTTGGAAATGATAGGTAAAAGGAAAAGGGAGGCGTTTTCCATGAGCTGTAGGAAGATGGTTACCTTTAGGGGCATGGCCAGGAACTTCAGGTCGACAGTTTCACCATTGGCCTCCAGGGGTCGCCATCATCTCACCACAACTTGATGCTGACTTGGAAGGCTGCAAATTAGAAAATAATTAATAGAGGAGACTTTAATTGTTTCTACACTTTGGAAATAAAGCAGTTTTCACTTGGAGAAAATTTAAAACTTAATGTTGGGGAGTGTAGCTGCAATTATTCCCTAAATTTAGATAACCTTTTCCTATTGTTTAAAGCTAGTCCATGATTGTCTATACAGTGATTGGCACCAGGCCTTGTTTAAATGCAAACTTTTCTAGTTCACTTCATTTATTATAATTTATGCTGTAGTTTTATTTTGAATATAAACAACACACTACATGTTATATTTTTGTTTTAATCATCACACAAAGCTATGGTTGTGATATTGCATTTGTGGGTTCCCCCTTCTCTCCCCTCCCCTGCCCTCCCCTCTCCTTCCCTCCCCTCTCTTTCCCTTCCCTCTCTTGACCTGTGTATTTTTGCTTTTGGTTTAGGCCTCTCCCTCAGCCAGGCTCAGCCCTGTCATCTTTCTTTCTTTCTTTCTTTCTTTCTTTCTTTCTTTCTTTCTTTCTTTCTTTCTTTTTTAGATTTTTTATTTTAATTAGAAACAAGGTTGCTTCACATGTCAATCCCAGCTCCCTCTCCCTCTCCTCCTTCCACGCCCCCCACCAACTCCCCCAGCCCCCCATCCAATTCCCACTCCGTTCCCCAGTGAGGGTGAGGGATCTATGTGGGATCTCCAGAGTCTGTCATTTCATCCAGGGCAGGGCCTAGACCCTCCCCCAAGAGTCCAGGCTGAGAGAGCATCCCTCATTGTAGGATGGGCACCAAAAGTCCATTTGTGTGCCAGGGATAAGTACTAATTACTGCCCAAGGCCCCACAGATTGCCTAGGCCACCTCACTGACACTCACATTCAGGGGGTCTTGATCAGTCCCATGCTGACCTCTTAGCCTTCAGGCTGGGGTTCAAGAGCTCCCCCTTGTTTAGGTCAGCTGCTTCTGTGGGTTAAACAAGCCCAGTATTGACCCCTTTGCTCATCACTCCTCCCTCTCTGTCACTGGGTTCCAGGAGTTCAGTTACTGGATGAAGGCTCTAGGATGGCATATAAGGTAGTCATCAATCTCATTATCAGGGATAGGCATTTAAGGTAGCCTCTCCACTATTGCTTAGATTGCCAGCTGGTGTCATCCCTGTAGATCTCTGGAAATCTCACTAGTGCCAGATTTCTCCTCAAACATATGATGACTCCCTCTATTATGGTATCTCTCATCCTGCTCTCCCTAATCTGTCATCTTTTGGGATCTTCACTGTGGGGACACCAGACCTTGAGCAGAAACCCACTTCCCCTTTGGCCTGGGAGCAGGCAGCTGTGAGATAATGTTTACTGAAAACAATTCAGTGCTATAAAGCTCTTGTTAGGGCTCTGATAAGGGCTGGCTCACTGAAACACCATGACTTTGATCCCCCCTATGGCTAGATGCTTCTTCCTGTTCCCCCTGCTGTTTCTCCCCCGATTCTGGGGCCGGAGATTAAACCACCAGCTAGGAGGGTGAAAAGACTGGAAGAGGGTGAGAAGTCTAGTCTGGGAGAGCTGTGAGAGCTCGGTTGGAGAATTGTATGTAGATGGATGGCAGAAGTCCTTAAAAAGGGAAGCGTTTTTTCTTGGGGTCTCCTCCTAAGCTGACTTGGGAAGCATAAAGTTTTCTTAAAGCAACTGACCAGTCTCTGTGTCATCTATCGCGACCACCTTGCTACATTCTCGGATGCAGGTTGCACAGCAGGTGCGACATTCACTTTCTTAGTCCTCACCAAAGACAGTTTTCCAAGTAAGTTCTTCTATTCTCCCAATGGCTTGAAACATGACTGTCTTCCCAAGGACATTAACCAAACCAGCTGTGTCCCATGCTAGTGAGGAGACTTCAGCAGTAGGGACACAAGGCTGAAGACAGCCTGTGTCTTCTCCAGTGAAAAGACTTTCTCTTCACTGCTCCATGGTCCCAGGGTCCCGGTTAGGAGCCATTGGTTTGGAAAGATGAATGTGGAGCACAGAGGGACCCTGGAAAGATAGACCAGGTTCTTCCCCTTTGACTACTTGTACAGGGCCTCCAGCGGCAATGGCATCGGCTTTGAGATGTGTTGACTAGAGACACTTGCTTCCCTTTTCCCAGCAAGGAGCCTCTGTCACCTGCTCTGCAGTAGGGTGGTTGGTGCTCAGCTTTGGGCTGTCTCAGAGTCCTGTTGGCTTCTCATGTCCCTCACGTGTAGTGTGTCATCCATGTGAAGTTCCTTGTACTATTTTCTGAGTTCAGTGTTGTATTTCCTCCAGCAAGACTCCACTTCCTAAAGGCCCATAACCTTCACAAACAGCACCACCAACTAAGGACCAAGTGCTATGACTCATGAGCTTTTGTTGGACAATTCATGTTCAAACCGCTGTGCCTTTGTCTTCCAGAATCACACAACCCACGCAGAAACCTGCTGCTATTCTCGCCCTGGGAAATGGTGTCCTGACAGCATCCCTGTCTCAGTGTGAGAGCTAGGCTGCTTGGTTTTAGAGAGAAGTTCTTCTGGCTTGTTATAAACGACCTGACAATATTTCATAATTCACACTTCCCACCCCCCAAGTCCTTCGTGGTTAATTAGGTTCCTTTGAACTAAACACACTTTTATGCTGGAGTTTATAACCTGCAGGAACCCCAGGTGCTGTATTTAATTAGTTCAGAAACCTCCCTTCCTACTGTATGAAAGAATAATGAATTTTATCCTTAAGGTTTAATAAGCCAACCATGACATGTTTTGCCTCAGTTAAACACACACAACCTACATTTGTTCTGTCTTCTTTTTGTACCATGCCAGTGTTTTTTTGTTATTTACAGTTTTCATCTATTTTTGTCTTTATTATGAACTTAATCTTTAAAAAAATCTTGCAGGAAAATTTCCTGTATTCTGGGTGTCTTGACATCTCCAATGCTGATTCTTTACATTACTGGATAATGTACACTGTATGTACACACACCGAGTGTTTCACACTACAGGATAATGCACATTCTGAATGTTTTGCATTATGGGATAATGCGCACTGTGTATACACATTGAGTGTCTCACAGTACAGGATAATGCACACTGTGTATACACATTGAGTGTCTCACAGTACAGGATAATGCACACTCTGAATGTTTTGCATTATGGGATAATGCACACTGTGTATACACATTGAGTGTCTCACACTACAGGATAATGCACGCTGTGTGTACACACTGAGTGGCACCACTCTTATCTTCTAACCTCACGGAGAGTTCTTCTCCTTTCTCTGGGTCTTCCTGGCTCACCTCTGGCCTTTGTTCCATGGACTTCTGCCCTTTTGCTGCCTTGGCATCTCTCAACTGCCTTTAGTGATATGTTTTTGGGTTCATAGAGAATTCCAGATACTGGATGGTTTGAACGAGACTGTCCCCCATAGGCTCACATATTTGAATACTTGTCCCCCAGTTGGTGGCACTGTTTGGTACTAAGGTTAGGAGGTGTGGCCTTGCTGAAGGAACCATGCCTCTAGAGGCAGGTTTTGGGGATTACAGGCACTCTTTCTGCTCCTTGCTTGTGGCGCAAGATGCGATCTCTTAGCTTGCTGCACTAGTGACCATGCTTCCTCGCTATGATGGTGATGGATTCATTCCTCTGGAACCATAAGCCCAAACAAGCCCTTTCTTCTGTAAGTTGCCTGGCCATGGTGCTTTGACATAGTAACTGGACAGTGACTAATACACTGGAACTCTGAGGTTTTGAAAGTTTACTTAAAGTATTTATTTGTACTGTATACTTTATGACTTCGACTCTTTGGGCATGCTGGAAAAAGTACAGCTGTGATGAAAGCAAAGAATAGGAATTGTCAGGAGTTCATGGAGGGAGGGACAAGCTCAGCATGAGTTCAGTGTCCAAAACCAAGAATGGACCATCCCATAGACCATGGCTCTTAGGTGATAGTAGAGTGTTATCTAAGTTTGCAGATGGTAAAGAGTGCAGGGTGTTGGCAGTGGGGGAGGCTGGGCAAGTGTGGGGGCAGGGAGCTTATGGGAGATCTCTACATTATGCTGAATTTAACCCAAAACCCAGAATTTTCTCTAATAAAGCCTACTGACATTTTTACAGACACGGTGAGTCCTCACTTTAGAGCAAGACATAAGTGGTACCATTTTTTCCTTATGGTAATCTCTTAGTTTCTTTCTTAGAAGGAAAACTATAAAAATCTTGCTTTCTAGATCTTTCTGTAGACTGTAATTCTCTGACACACTCCATTGCACTCATAACACATAACACACTATTTTGCTCACACACATTTGCACACTTATCAGATATACACTCCCACACTGCCACATGAATGCACTTATAGGCATCTATAAATGTAAATAAGATCATAATTTACATATTATTCTGTGGCCCTTTATTATTTTGTAGTGTCAAACATGTCAGAAGATTCTGCTAGAATACATCCTTTTTAATTGACATATTCTGTAGTCCTTTATTATTTTTATGGTCTCAAACATGTCGGGAGACTCTACTAGACACATCCTTTCTTGCCATTGTATTGTTGCTCATTTTCCTCGCATGGTTTTTCATCTAGAGCACTAAGAAACTTCTGATTAATTTTCTAAAAAAGTAGTTGCCATCTATCAAGGAGAAAATACAAATTACCAAAAATAAAAACAAAGTAATTCTAAGCCATTTGATAATCTTGAGAGAAATAGATCCTGAACTAAAGAAGGTTTACTGACTGGTCACAGAACTCCAAGGGGACTCAGATAAATCCGCAACATGGGTATTCCAAATGTGCATGTGTCACCCTCAGTAAAACCCAGCTTGATGTCCTCCTTGCATATAGGAGTAAGCTGTGGTGACGACCAGAAACCTTGGAGTTTTACATCAATGACAATCCACAGAAAGCAGCAACTATAAACTCACATGCTTTGTGTATTTTTATAAGTCAGCAGAATATAAAGGGTTGGGTTTGACTTACGTGTTTCCTCCAAGGAATGTTTTTGAAACCCACACATACATACATATATATAACATACCCAAAACACACACACACACACATACACACACACAGCATACCCCAAACATACACACACACACACATACATACATACACACACACGCAGTTACATAAACATACTCACATACTCACAAATACACTCACACATTCACAGACATGCACATATACATACATTACACAGACTCTTTCATATACATACACATATATAGTACAAACACACATATATACACATACACACTAAATATGTACATACACACAATGCAAACACATATACACATACATTTACACTTAGACATGTACATATACACAAAAATACATACAAACTCATGCACATACATGCATAACACCCCCACCCACCCACCCACCCACACCCACACACACACACACACACACACACACACACACACACACATGAAGAATGATGGCTACAGATAAAACCAAAAAGAACAGAGAATGAACCACAAAATGCGTAGTTGAAAACAAAAAAACCAGAGCAAATTCAAGGGACATTTTTGTGACTTTACTATTTTACTCTTGATCATAGTTCTTCTTGAAGTTTAAGGAACAGTACTTCAGGTGGAGAGAAAGAAACCCCAAACACCGGGAGGATGACAAGCTGTCGAAAAGCAGGCCCTTTTAGTCTAGGTTGCTGTGATATGTTTTTGTCAGAAACATTCATAGTTTACCATTTCCCTGTGATTTCCACTGGGCATCAGTTTTCCTTTGAAAATGACTGAGGGCCAGGAGTTCACCAGAATTTCCATTTTTGGGACCAGAACTTTGAAGTCTACTTATTGAGTTTACTTTTCTGTTTATCACATTCTATGAAGCTCTGTTGTTGGCAAAAATGGAGAAAGGAAATTTAGAATGCCCTGAGCAGGTAGCTAAGTTAGGACTCCAAGCATCCTGCGAAAGACTAAGAAGTAAATGTTCCCCTGACTTGGTCATGGCTGTTACTTTAACCTGCCATCAGTGTAAAGTCCACCAGAGACAAAATGTAAAAGAATGGGCATGTCCATGTGCTAATGAAATTCTATTTATGGATACTCAGACTTTAATTTCATATGATAGCCATATGGCTCAGACTATTAAATTTATAATGTAAGAACAAATAGCTAATGTAGGCACTCATAGCTGGCCAAAGTGCAGAGAACGCGTCTGTGAAGTGTTTAGTCCCACGTAGGATGACTATCATTCCCATCCGCAAGGCTCAGGAACCAGAGTGGGTACAAGAGTCAGGGGGAAGGGAAGACTGGAGCGAAACGTGACAGGACTATTGAACATGCAATGGTTAGTGAGTTCATGGGTGCAGCCATATGGTGGCGGCTTCGCCACGGAATCAGGGGATGGACCTTGGCTTCTCAGTGCTAGGCTGGTGTACTTGTTGGTGACCTCACCTGGGGTCAACAGCACCTTTTCATCCAACACAAATAGAGCTGGGATGTGGACAGAGGTCATCAGGAGAGGTATTGTGGGCATATGTTTTCTTGTATGTGGAACCTAGAAAAAAATACATCACAGGCAAGTAGAAGGGGGCCATTTGGGAAGAGGACAGGGATTAGCGGGAGGGGGGAGAGGTAACAGGAGAGACAAAGAGAATAATGGGGCTGAGTATGGTCACAGCACATACTGTATTGGAATGGAGATATTACTATAAAACCATCACTTTATGCAATGAACATGCATTAATCAAGAGCCTTAAAACATGACCCAGAAATAACAACAGTACACCAACTATAGCCTGAGACTATTGCTGGGTTCATTCAGGTGTCTCATGAGCTCCTTCAGCTTGTGAAGATACATGTCACAGAGAGGAAGAATGGTCATTTCTAGGCTTGGACTACATTCTTCAGAGCAAGAAGGAATTCTAGCAGAGAGTCTAAACAGCATTGTGACTCTCCCTGATGTCTATAGCCTGGAAGCCCTTCCTGAAGGTAGGGGACTCAACAAGTCCTTCATAGACAAAGGCTGCTTTATCTGTCTATCATCCATCTGTCTGTCTGTGTGTGGTCTGTCTCTCTGTCATCCATCTGTCTGTCATTTGTGTATCTGTCCTCTATCTCTATATTCTAATCTAGTTTAAATCTATCACAATTGTATTTTTAAGGACACAGAGAGCTCAGACAGAGACACACACATAGGTAGAGAAAGGTGGAGAGACACAGTAATTTTCAGGAGTTATTTTGCCAGCTCATGAAGGACTTGTTGAGTCCCCTACCTTCAGGATTCTGTGGGACTGGCAGTCACCCCCTGTAGTTGGAGGTTTCTCATCCTGCCTGCCAGTCCTCAAATGACTGGCCAATGGTTCAGGTGTATTGCTGACTAGCTGTCTTGATTAAATTAACCCATTTTGTTTACATTTTACCGTGATGCTTATGGCTTATTTCTTCACATCTTGCTTCCCCAGTGGCTACATGGTGTCCCCCTGATCCCGCCTTCTTTTTTTCTCTACCTCTATTTGGATTTCCTGCCTAGCTATATTTGTCCATTGGCCAAATCAGTGTTATTCACCAGCCAGTAAAAGAAGCACATACAGAAGCACATCTTGCCTAAGCATCTCATAGTCTGGAAGGTGCTGCAACACCAACAGCTTCCTGTCTTGTGGCATCTTCCTAAGTTAGCATAGCGGAAGCAATTTCCTGGAGTTTTCTGGATATGGATGGAAAGGGGACTCATAGTTAGTGTGTAGATGGCCAGACTGGGAGCTGGATAATCGGTGCACACTTTTCTGTCCAGTGTCACTGATTCCCTGGAGTTAGAGAACTTGGCCAGTGTGGAATGTGGGAGAGATGGCAGGGTCTGGGGAATGGAGAACATGCCCAACATCGGTGTTTTAGTAGCTAGAGTGAACTCATTAGCTTCACCGCAGGCTTCACAGTTAGCTGAGCTGATAGGTCCCTTCTGTCACTTTGTTAGTTAATGGGGCGGTTCTGTCACTTGGCGAGAAGATACCTTGGCATTTATGGCTATGTTCATTGGACTGTGACCCACAGATCTTCCTGTCATTTGCTACTGTAATGGTAGGACAGCAAGAGTCAGGAAAGCAGGGAGTCCATTCCAAACAGTAGGCAGTAGTCCACTGTTGCGTGGCTGCTTCCTCTAAATTGAGACATTCTTAGAAGGAGGCTTGTAAGGCTCATGAAATCAAGAGGACACCTGTGCAAGGCTCAGGAAGCAGGAGTCACGTGGTTCACAAAGTCTTACAAACAGTGACTAATTGCTGGGGTAAAGAGATTTTTTTTCCCCATGGAGCTGCCTGAAAATGGAGTCGGGGGGGGGGCTCTTAGGTTACAGATTTCACGTCTCAGTTGTCCTGGGGTTGCAGTGCTCCTGTGCCACCCCAGCGAACTCCTTGGTTACCAAGCTGGACTCAATGGAATTATTTCTTTGGCTGTTGTGGAAACTTGATTCTGTATTGCCGTGTGTTCTGTAGTGGCATCTGGCCCTGCCAGCGAACCTGAAGAAGTAGCCACACCCTTTGGGCGTGGTTTCAGGTGTGGATGTGATTGCAGCTGCGGGCATGGAGAACATCAGCAGGGCAGAGACGAGACTGCATCTTCTGGAGCAGGAAGACTGCAGTGGCTATTTACTCGTATCTGTGTAAGCTGTTCTCCAGTAAAACAGCTATTTATCATTTATCCTGGGTCTGGTGGACTCCTTAATCCCTGCCTTCATTGTTCCCAGTGAGCTGTTCTTCCGACCCTTCGAGCACTCCATGCGCCCACATCACTTCATCCATTTCAAGGTTGTTCAGTGTCCCTGCGTGGTTGCACATGCCAGGCCTGGAGTGACAGTGATGACTGGTTGCTTTCTGAGTAAGGGTCCAAGATGAGTCACTTAAATCACCTGATTTGTAGTTAGATGTGACCCCCAGATTTGGGGAGACAGAGGCAGGGGGAGAGGGAGGGGGAGGGAGAAAACAGGAGCCATTGCTATACAGTGAGGATGTGGAGGGGTGTGAAGATGCCTTCCATGTTCCTTACAGTCTCTGAACTCCAAACCACTCCCCTCATGTCTTCTGAATTGCTGGTTGAGCATTTCTTAATTTTTCTTAAGAGGGATGTTGTAAATCTTGTTTAAAGTTCCCAGAGCTCCAGAGCCCATCCTTCTGAGAATTCACATCTACAGCCAACATTTTCTTCATTGGGTCCTTCTTGTGGGTCTAAAATTAAATTCCCTGGTTCTCAACATCAGAGTGCATTGACCCAAGTGCCACTGGGCAAGAGCCGGGCAGTTTTTGCCCGGGAGCAAGTCTCTGTATGATGAATAGAAAAGAATGGCCCGCGGTGGATGTCGCAGGGGGAGGGAATGGGCTATTGATGTGTCATTTCCCGAAAGTGATGTTGTTGGACATATTTACTAAAGAATTTAGAGACTATTGTCAGAATTTCTGTAAATTTCTAAATACTTCACATTGCTACATTTGTGTATAAGTTGAAGAGAGATTTGGTCATGATTATAAGTATGAACTGTAATAATACTTTGGATAGTGTGTACCTGACTTCACACCTTGTCTTCAAGTTGCTGAAAAGCTTCCTTTCACTAAGGAATCACCCAACATGTTTTCCTACTGCGGAGTAATGGAAGTTTCTAGATGCACAAAGAATAAATTTGTTGGCTGTTCTTTCAAGCAAAGCTGGAAACATTGTGGAAGAACTCCAGGATCTGCAGTGTTAGAGAGCTGTTTTGTGTTTGCTCTATTTCTTAGTAGCTGTGAAAGTGGAACTCAGAGGAGAGCCATGCATAGGGGTCTTGGTGTGCCCCAGGTATTGAGGAGAAACGATTGTAAGGAAGGGAAAATGAGGCCCAGATAAGGGGCTAAGTGTGCACATGGTTTCTCAGAGTAAGTCAGGGACAAGGAAGCCACAGAAGCAAGCAGCAGGCTTGTCTCTGAACTGGGCAGAGGTGTACTGGGCAGGTGTACCTTTTGGAAACTCTTGGCTCTATCTATACAATGGGACTCCTAGGAGCAGCTAGAACTGCCTGGGGTGAAGATAACTGGAGGTTGTCTGTGGAAGGCTAAGCCTGGGGGCGGGGCTTTGCTCCAGAGCAGCTATGTACATTCCCTCAGAAAGAGGTGAGACCTGACGATCTTCTACACATCTGTGGTAGGATTTTGGCTGGCTTGATCTTGTGGAGGTCTTGCGTAGGTAACCATAGGTGCTGTGATTTCATGACTACAACAGCCAGGTCGCATCCAGAGGATGGCTTTTCACAGCTCTCCTCCCCATCTTCCTGTTCTTGCATTCCTGCTACCTCTTCCTCAGTGGTGTTCCATGAGCCTGTGAGAGGTTGCTGATACAGTTGTCCCGTTTAGGGACTAAGAACTCAGTCTCCTATTCTCAGACACTGACCAGCTATGTGTCTCTCCAGTGACTGCTGCCCCCTGTGAAGAGACGTGCCTCTCTCCAAGGTTGAGATCAGCCAGGTGTCTTATAGTTTCTACTACTATGAAGAGATGCCAGGACCACAACAACTCTTATAAAGGAAAACATTTAATTGAGGTGGCATTTTACAGTTTAGAGGTTCAGTCCATTGTCATCATAGTAGGGAGCATGGTGGCAGGCAGGCGGACATGGTGCTGGAGAAGGAGCTACTGCATCGTGATCCACAGGCAACAGGAAGTAGACTGAACTACTGGGTATGGCTTGAGCATAGATGAGAACTCAAAGCTCGCCTCCATAGTGACACATTTCCTCCTACAGGGCCACCACTAAACCAACAAAGCCACACCTCCTAATAATACCACTCCCTGTGAGCTTATGGGGGCCAGTTACATTCAAACTACCACAATGGGTTTAAGCACAAATATTTAGAAGGCAATTTGACAGTATGACCAGTTAGCAAAATAATAATAGCAGATTTTGCTCTAGGGCCTATGACCTTCCAGAGGATTACGGACCAGGCATGGAATTCCCTTCTGTGGAACAGGCCTCAGGTCCAATCAGTAAAAGCTCAGCTATGAGGGCTGTGCCACTATCATACCAGTGAACTCATCTTTCCTAGAGCTCAGTCTCATAGCACTCAAGTTCAGCTTTAAGTAGGGCCATTGAGGCCCTTGCCCCAGCGGCCTGCATAGCATCCTCCAACACTATGAAATAGGATGTTCATGGTGCATCTGAGGTTACTGTGTCCCTGTCCTGTAGCTAAACTCTGCACTGTCTTCAGCTCATCATGTACTTATTGTGGGTAACTAAGAACATTGTTCCAAAGACCTCTGGGGGCCTCCTGGACCAATGCCTCATAGAAAGGTAAAGACTGCAATTTTCACGTAATACCCCGTGACGTCTGGGAGTGGCATTGCTTACCCATGCAGGCCAAGCCCATTTTATCTTTTTAAGTTACATTTTAACTACCTAGCCAGTTTGCACAGGGCTTTTTAGTTTTGGTTAATCCCCTCCCTACTTCCTCCTCTTCCCATCCCTCATCCCCACTTACTTCTTTAACTCTCAGTATCCTCCTCCCCGACTATTTCTTTAAACATGTGTTCCAAAAATAATCCAAGTGAGAGGAGTTTGTTTCTGAGACAAGGTTCCATTGTAACTCAGGTTGGCCTCAAACTCAATATGTAGTTGAAGATGGTCTAGAACTGCTATTCTTGTGTACTTGTCCTAGGTGCCAGGATTACAGGCATGTGTTACCATACCACTTCCTGCTTACAGCCTACGCTCTCTTTCTTCTGGCCGTGAGAGTTAAGGGGCTTCTGCTGAGCAGACACATTTGATTTCTTTTTTTCTTTTTTTGGTTTTTCAAGACATGGTGTCTCTGACTTTGGAGGCTGTCCTGGAGCTAGCTCTTGTAGACCAGGCTAGTCTTGAACTCACAGGGATCCACCTGCCTCTGACTCCCGAGTGCTGAGATTAAAGGTGTGTGCCACCACCGCCCTGCGAGACATTTGATTTCTGTCCTCAAAATCTCTGAGAAGACTTCCTGACTGGCAGGTGAGGTTTTCCCTGGACCTCCAAGCTCTCAGACTCTGGTTGTGTCTTCACACTGTCATCCCTGGCAAGGCAGCCCTCTTAAGGCTCCAATGCCCACACTTGGGGGTGTTCTCTCGTTTCACAAGCACCCATCTCTTCCTTAGATCCAGTGCTTACACTTACACAATGGTTTCCTTTTAATGAATCTGACTTTGCTTCTCTAAAAAAAGTCACAGAGAATGCCCTAACAGTCACCAGGAGTGATGTCCTCAGAGGTGCAAGTCCTTTGCAGTAACTCGTAGATTAGGCATGAGCTCCTGTAGGGCCAGCATGAGGGGTGGCTTCACGGGAAATGCTGTATTCCTCTTTGGTTACATTGACTGAGTGTAGTCCCTTGAGAAGGTGTTATGGACATTCCAGGAGACAGATTATAGTTCCTCTCAATAGTGGGTGTGCCAAGATGCCTCCTGACACAGGCAGTGAGCTGCAGACACTTCTATTCTCTTAAACAAGCAACTGTCTTCTCTCTCTCTAGTTCCTGTCCCCTAACTCTTGCTGGCTCAGTCCTGGCATCAGCCCATGGGGTTCAGAACCATGATGTCCCGCTTAAAAGGAAGCAGTCCATCCTAAGGAGTGAGGGCGGGAAGGGACACTCAGAGTGGCATCCTCAAAGGAGCCTTCCATTGTTTGGCCTGATAATTAAATATTCCCAGACAGTAGGACTGGCTTTTATTCAAATGCAAATGTAAATTGCCTTTCCTGGGCCAATGTAAGCAGCCTTTTAGCATATCTGATTTTGAATTACCTGCCTCTCTTCTCTGGCATTAGTGGAGATAATTGAAAAATTGCAGCACTTATATTCATGTTTTGAAAAATGGTTTAGGAAGCATGTTTCTGTCTTCAGATTACTAGAGTGCCGCTTACTCCTGCAAAGAGGACTAAGTAAACCAAGCCATTTTCTTTTCTTTTCTTTCTTTCTTTTAGTAGAGAAAGCATTTAAATTCTTTTTGACTTGACACATAAAATAACATTCTTTTATTGGGTACTATTTTTTGATTTTGTTAGGTCTTTTTTGAGACAGAGTTTCTCTATGTAGCCTTGAACATCCTGGAACCTGCTCTGTAGATGAGACTGATGTTGAACACAGAGATCCACCTACCTCTGCCTCCCAAGTGCTGGAATTAAAGCCATTCACCACCCACTGCTTGCCCCCTCTCCTTTTTTTCTTTTCTTTTCTTTTTTTTTTTTTTTGAGACCATGCTTCACTCAGTATCACAAGCCAGCCTGGAAAAAGCTATGTAGACCAGCCTAACCTTGAACTTGTGGGCATTCCTCTGCCTCAGACTCCTGGGTAATGAGATTACAGGCATGGGGCACTATGTGCCACCATAGTGTTCTGATATCTACACACAGTATTCCAATCAGAGTAGACTTGGGAGGTTGTATTTATATATATCTGTGCATATACATACATGCATACATATGTACTTACATACAAATATGTATGCAACAAAATTAATAAAAGAAAAAGAGGTTATCAACTTGATTGCGGGAGATAAGGGAGGGGGGATAAAGTGATATAATTCTATTTCAATTAAAAACATATTTAAATAAAATCCTCTCTGTCTTTTCTTGCCTCCCAGGGGACCCAGATGACTTTGCTGTGTCTGGGTCGCTCCTGCAGTACTGAACACAGGCTTTCTTTGTGTGAGGGCCACAGTGATTTACGTGAGCTGACGAATTGTATTAGCTCAGTCCTACATGTCCTGTTGAGCCCTAGTGCTGGTGCCCAGAGTGAAATATGGCAGTGAGCTCCTAGGCAACTCTACAAGGCTCCTAGTCCTGTGATTTGAGAAATGTTCAGTCTAGGAGGGATCCCGGCTAGGCTGGTGCTGGGGTCATGGGGGACTTGGAGCCCTTTGACTCTCCTGCCTAATGAAGCTTTATCATGATTTCAGATTAAACCATGGGAGGCGGGAACTGCTACTAATTAGAGCTGATAAAAGCAGCAAGGAAACCCTTCATCACTTGTTTTGGGTGGTGGATGCTTTCTCAGCCAGTCATCCATGGACAAGAACAACTAGTGTTAATTGATCTGACATGTCAGGGTTGCTAATTAGGAAGACCATGTTTGCTGAGGCCCTGTGAGCCAGCCTTCCCTGACAGATCTTCTGGGATGATGCTTGTTGATGTCCCTGGCTGCTTTTGATCTGCCTTAAAGGGACACAAACATCCTCGGAAACCAATATTCAAAGGGACTTTTTGAAAACAAGCCCCGGAGCTGCTCATTTCTCTCAGGCATAGGAATTTGGATGCTTAGACTCTAATTCTTTCTTAGAGCTCATCCTTCAATTGACCCTCTATTTGATGGTTTAAAGTCCCCCTCTTTAAATATTTTATATCTTATGTCAAACCACAGTATAATGTTTTGAAAACTAATTTTAATTACCAATTCTTTGCCTAGCTCGGCTCTTGGAGTCATTTCGTAGTCTCGTGTGTGTGTATTTGTGTGTCTGTATGCCTGCTGTTTGTGCAGCTGCACGTTGAGGCCAGAACAGGGCGTTGGATACCCTGGAGCTGGAGTTACAGATGTTTGACAGCTGCCTGATACGGGTGCGGGGATCTGAACTTGGGTCCTCTGGAAGAGCAGCAACTGCTCTTCACCACTAGGCTGTCTTTGAATCTTAAGTGTGGGAAACGTCGGCTGGGTTGGTTATTGATGGAAGGAGTTCTGAGATGCTACCCGGACAAAGGCAGCGGGGAATCGAGGTGCTGACACAGTCTAACGGTTGAATCTGAGAGTACAGCGACATTGGCTGTGCCTGGCTGTTCAGTCTCAGATCTAGAGACACCTTTGTCTGCACAGTTCTTAAAGAAGAAAGGCTCTTCTAGCCGCTGGACTAATACCATAGGCACCCTGGATTCATGGCTTCCTGGCCCACCACCTCCATCACTTTAGTGCATCACAAGTCGGGACCTTGCCGGAGAAATCACCCGCTCTCTCCATGTCATTTATAGCCAGGTTGCCTGATGGCCCAGTGTATTCCCATTTTTCAAGACCTTGGCATTTTAACATTGAAAGCCAGGTGTTATAATTTCCTATTGAATAGTTTATGCAAATCACTCAATGACTTTGATAGACTAGGGGGACTAACCCTGCTCTGAGGTATATTTGCCCGCAGGCATTGACTTGCCTATAGATTTAGTATTGTGAGAATTCCAAATCACAGCAAATGAAGGGCTATTTACCTTTGACAGGCAGAGCACCCCACCAGGATGGACAAGGTAAAGGACACACTAGCAGCTTTGCTCTGTTTCCACGGTGTGCTGAAGCATGCGTGCTTGTAGTGCGGTAGGTACCGTCCACTTCTGTACTGAGCCAGAGGGACTTGGTGTCTTTGGTTTGTTTTCAACACTATCCTCCTCCTAAGTTTTAAATTCCCTGTTTTGTATTTTAAAATGCTCCATTACATACATAGATTTGCCCATCAGAAATCATCTCACCTCTCTCTTCCTACTCCCTCAATACCAGTAAAACTCAAAGGTGAAGGACGTTGGAGGTGAGAGCCCAGCAGACAACTCGGACAGGGCTCAGTCACCTTTCAGTCCTACTTCTCTGTGTTAGCACTACCCCAGAGGACTGTGTAGTCATACATGGTACGTACCAAGCTCCCCAAGAGCATGCGGCTTAGAAACAGCTTCCCGTATGGGCCTTGATTTTGTCTGTAATACATGAGGCTGCTCCTCCACATCAAGCAAACCTGGAGACAACAGCGGCCAGGCAGGGAGGAGGCTCAGGTGGAGGTAAGCCAGCCATTCTGTCCCCTTGCCTTGGAGCCCAGTGACTTCACAGTACCTGTGCTGTGGGATGCATCATCACAGACTTAGGAGCCCCGTGACTTCATAGTACTAATGCATCCCCATTAACTTAGGTGAGGCAGACAGCATGTGCTTAGTATCTTATAGCATCTTAGCATCAGTGACCTTGAGCACTTTCTCTGGGTCCTCTAATTCAGGTCTTCTTGAACCAGACAGGGCTGCAATCTCACTTGAGCAGCAGTGAGGATCCACACAGCCTGGGATGTGTCGTCAACACAAACGCATTCCTCATAGTTCTGAAGGTTCAGAGGCTCAACATGGAGATGCCAGCCTATATGCAGGGCTTCTTGCTGCACAGAAACATGGGGGCAGGTAGACTTTGAGCAAGAGGTGAGAGAGAAGGGGTCTGCACTGATCGTACTCAGGTGGGAACAGCAATGGTGTCCCACTCTTGTCTTAAGGACAATTTCAACCTGCTTTTCTCTGGGGGACGAGTTTTAACACTGCAGCCAGAGCTGAGTAACTCAGGACATCTGAGAAGAATGGAGTAAGCCTGCACATGGAGGAGAAGAGACATGGAATCTACGCACATCAGCAGGTCTTGTTCTGGGAGGGAGTTGGGGTGTGTGCTTAGTTCTTTCTCTCCTTCCTGGGTATTGCTCTGAGGTGAAGCCTGATGCTACAGTCACCATCCAGCATGCCAGAGACCAACCACCTGGGTGAGGAATGAAGGCTAGCACCTCAGTGCCCTCTGCAAGATGGAGGAGTAACCAGTAAGCTCTAGATTTCTCACTGTAGAAAAACAAACCAATGGTTAAAATCACTCCATCAAACAAACAAACATATTTGGAGGTAGCTGAAGGCTGGCTCATAAGGAGTTGAATAGATGGCAGAAAGAGTGGCCTTGTAGTTTCCTTGAATCTCTCTCTGAACTTCTATAACTAGAGTCTACTGTTCAAATTCGGAAAGTGGCACCATGGCAGATCTGCTATTTTAGCTGCATGCCCAGCACAGATCTCTCTATACATCTCTGCTGGTAAATGGCAGTATTGCTGAATTTGTCTGTTATCTGCAATACCATGTACATGCTTTTCTGCAATACCATGCAACAGTAAATACACAGACACATGCTAATCTCGACTGAGAAACTCATCTCGTGTTTTTAATCTCTTCCTTGTAATATCCCAAATTGGGCATCAGAGATCAGATCCGTGTGCTATTAACAGAAAACTGAAATTCTTGGACAGTGATATTATATGCATTATTCCTTGATAATCTCATGTCTGTTGATGGCAAACTAACATCATGTCTACCCCTGGTTTGCTCCCATAGTTCCTGTAAGGTTTGAATGACAATGACACCCTATAAACTCATGTGTCTGAATACTTGGGCCTCAGTTGGTTGAACTCTTTGGGAAGGATTAGGAGGTGTGGCCTTATTGGAGGAGGCATGTCACTGGCAGTGGACTTTGAGGTTTCAAAATCTCACAGCATCCAGCACACTTAGTCGTCTGTCTGGTGGTTGTATTGCAAGATGTAAGCTCTCAGCTACTGTTTCAGTTTCATGCTTGCCTGGCTACGGCCATGTTTCCCACCGTGATGGTGGTGGACTCTAACCCCCAAGAACCATAAGCATCAAATCAAATGCCTTTTTAAACAAATTTTAAACAAAATTGCCTTGATCATGGTGTTTTGTCACAGCAATAGAAAACTGACTAAGAAATTCCCCTCCTAGACCCCCCCTCCCAGCTTCATCCTCCTCTGCCTTTTTTAAAAAATAACCTGCTAAGTCCAATTAGTGCTGTCCCCATGTGCATGGGTCTGGTTCTTGCACTTGGGCACAAGAGAATGGTTTTCCCTCCTCTGCAGCTACTAACAGCCAGTAGTTCCACAGCTAGTGGTAGGGCCTTGTGTTCCTATACCACATAATTTATTCCGGAATTTTGACTGACTTGATGTTGTGCAGGTCTTGTTCATGTAACTGTAGCAGTTGTTGAATTCATGAATGTGACTGCCATGTTGTTTCTAGAAGAAAGAATTGTACAGGCCCCCTCCCCATTCTCAGAAACGTACATCTTTTCTGTCTCCACCTTTTCAGGGATCCCCAAGCCTTGATGGGAGGCCCACGGTATTGATAGAGATATCAGCCTATTAGGGCTGAACAGTTATTCTTAGCTCTTTGAGCAGCTGCGGGACTCTGCGTTGGTGACTGACAACTGCAAAGAGAAGCCTCTGACCAGGTGGAGAGCTGCATGGACCTGTGAGTTTAAGCATACATATTTAGAAGGAGGTCTGACAATCTGGCCATTTAGCAAAATGACTGTAATACATTCTACCATAGCATCCAGGTTTATGGAGTAGGCACAGCTTCTAACCTGTTCAGGCCTTGGATTCAATAAAAAGCTGTTAGACTGCTGTACCGGTGGGCACATCGTGCCTGGCAGGTTGGCATTGCAGCATGTGGGGTCCAGGGCTGAGTGAGACCACTTCTGTCTGCTGCCCCTAACAAACTGCCAGCACCTCCCAATAGTATGAAAGCTAGTTAGCATGGAGGAAGGTTTCCTGAGTTTGTGACTGATTGCTCTCTGTTCTGCAGCCAAAATTGTGGTGTCTTTAGCCACAGGGTCTCACCATGTAGCTATAGTGGGCAACCAGAAGCAATGGCAATACCCCGTGCTATTTTGGAGACCTGTGGGGCCTCCTTGATGAATAACTTATAGGGAAGTATCCTGTGCCTTGCAGTGATGATTTTCATTTAATGACCCATGGGATTGATGTTGTCTGGTACCTCTGTTCAAACTTTTTTGGGAAAAATGTATTTTGAATTAGCTTATTAACTGGTATGCATCTATAAACCTTTCTCATATATTCTTAGTTGTGTTGACTCATCTACCTCTCCCTCTCCCCAACCCTACCCCTCCCCATCTTGGCTTAAACCTTTAGTTCCCTTTCTTCCTTTCAGACTACAATTGTATTTTTAAATGTGTTGCAAGATAGTAGATTTTTCATATGTCCTTCCTTAAGGTTAGCCCTCTTCCTCTTTAGGTTTCCCCTATCCTCTCCTGCTTCTCCTTGGTTAAGCATTTCCACCTGCAGTATTCTTGATATATATATATATATATATCGATACATATATATATATCTCAAGAATATATATATATATATATATATATATATATATATATATACACAAGTCAGTTATGACTCATCCACACAGCAGGCCCCAGTGCTCATGGATGTCACTACAGCCATGTCCTAGGAGGGAAGGTGGAGATGGAGAGGGCCCAGCCCATGGTCGGTGGTGCAACCCCTGGGCTGGCCGTCCTGGGTTCTACAAGAAAGGCTGAGCGAACCATGAGGAGCAAGCAGTACCCCTCTATGATCTTTGCATCAGCTCCTGACTCCAGGTTCCTGCCCTGTTTGAGTTTCTGTCCTGACTTCCCTTCAATGAACACTGACGTGAATACGAAGCTAAATAAACCCTTTCCTCCCCAGGTTGCTTTGGTGATGGTGTTTTATCACAGCAATAGGAGCTCTAAGTAGAACCATCCCAAATTGTCAGCTCAAGGTGTTGTCTTGCTTGCAAGATCAGTGTCAGCGTGCAGCTATTTCATGGATGCTGGTTTCAGACATGAAACTCCTGGTAAGGAAAAGGGAAATTTCTTGTACAGAACATTGTGATTGCCAGAGAATTAACATTGTATGCCCAGGCAAGCCTTGATTCCCATAAAGTGGTGTGTTCAGGCGAGGGAGCCTGAATCTAAATCTTCTTGAGAGTGGAAGTAGGACACCTATCCTTTGTTCTGGATGGAGATAATGGCCTCAGACCTCCAAAACAACCCACTCTTGGCAGGGAGGAAAGCCAGACCAAGGTGCTCTGGGGTGGCTTTGCTTCCTTTGGAGATCTGTTAGTGGATCATATATCCTGGGGTCTTCAGATACCGCAAGAGGAGAGATAATGGGGTGGGGTGGGGTGTGGGGGGAGAGGATCTGGGAGATGTTTTCAACTCCAGCTTCTTCAGTCTCATTGGTTCTCCAGTCCTCATGGATGCGCACCTGTCATGGCCAATATGGCTGTCTCCTTCCTGGAAGTGGTCAGCAGCAGGGTGAGGCAGGCGCTTATCTGATGCTGGGGGAGGTGCCCTTGGTCTCTCTGGACAATTGCTAATTTGGGGGTTTGTCTTTGTGAAAGAACAGTTTCCATTATCCTCGCATGGCCGGCAATGCTGCCATTTATACCCTTCCATTGAAAGCGTTTACATGTCACAGCATTCCTTTAAAGCCTTGCCAAGGCCTGGTTTCACAGAACCAAGAGGCTGTGGACACATGTCTCCCAGAATTCTGGCTTCGCAGCCCTTTCCTCCTCCTCTCTGGCAAGGCTCTTCCTTTTAATGGCCTGAGTGTCCCTGCACACACACGTGCCATCCAACACTCGCGCTTTGTTTTCCATGTCACATGTGAAGAAGGCAGAGTGGGGTAGCCTTCAGCAGGCCCAGCGGTGACCTCCTGTCATAAAGGGCACAAGTGACACTACCCCCTGAGCGTTACCTCTGGCCCTGCTTCACAGCAGCAGTGGGGTGGCAGCTCCTCTAGTGTTTTCCTTCCAGTCACAGCCAGCTCCCAGCGTCAAGACCGAGGAGCAGTCCCAAATTAGATGCAGCTGTTCTCGTGTGTGTGTGTGTGTGTGTGTGTGTGTGTGTGTGTGTGTGTTAAAAATAGCTGCGCTGCACCCTTCTGCAGCCCCTGGGGGCTGTTTGCAGCAAATGTTTATGACACAGATAATCTGATGCCTGTTCATGGGTAGCTCCCTCTTCTGCTTCAGGGAGGGATCCAGGAGAGTGGTGGTTCACTTGCAGTTCTGAATTTTTAGGGTTTAGTTTGTTACAGAAAAGCAGCTAATGGAAGGAAGGCTTGCATTACCAGGACTCTAAAAGAGTCAATAAAACTGGGCTCCGTGGGAGAGGAGGCATGTAGCTGTCCGCTGGGCGAATCTGATACAAAGGAAACC